AGCAAGAAGGAGACAGCAAGGAGCCTGGGCGTGGCTTAGCTCAACTGTTCTGTACTAAAGCTGCTTGGTGCTGTGAAACTGAAACGGAAACTCCTCTCCTCTGCTTGTGTTTTGCATTTGGAAGAGATTTCTTTCCAGGTGGGGAGGGGGAATAGAATTCCTTAGCATCAGAGCGTGTTAATAATAATAATATACATAATACTAATGCTCTGATAGTCATTTTGAAACATCCTTTCTTAGCGAGCACCTAGAAGCCAAGAATAACATACGTGCCAAATTTCAAGTTTGTAGGCTTTATGGTTCTGGAGATTTTGAGATGATGCATAAGTGGTATTTTGCTTTAAATATATATATATAGAGAGAGATTAGCTGTCCATAGGCTTGGGGGGTAGGAGACCAAGCATTGAATTTTTCTGATCAAGAACTGGATTAATATGAATGGTACCTAGTTAAATTTGTTCATGTATAATAGAGAATTGTTTAGATTGAACAAAGATAGAGATGAAGATAGAATAACAAAGGAAGGAATAAGGAAGGAAAGTAGAAAAAGGAAAAAGAAAGAAAAAGAAAGAGAGAGAGAAAAAAAGAGGTGGCAATTGTGTTTATAATTTGTTTTTGTCCTTTGCATTGATTCTTCAGTAACACAGCATTCCAGATTAGGCCAGAATCGTTCAATGAGACGTTGGTAGCCCAACCTGTTGAGCAAACCAGGTTTTCACCTTGAGCTAAAATATGGGGTTGGAATAAAAATCCTTCTGGGTTCAGTTCCAAGTGGTGAAAAAGACACTGGAACCATGGAGGCTGTTTGGAAGGTTTAATGGTGGACAGGACCACATGGCTTGAAGCTCCAGAGTGAAAAGGAAGGATGATCACATGCTTCAAGGTGAAGGAAGAGATCAAGAAAGAGCTAAGGTGCTGGGAGTGCCTGGGTTTTATAACCTTTGTTGGGATTTGAATTGGAGCTTGTATTCTGATTGGTTGTCAGACTCCCATGAGGCCATGCAGGGGCAACTCTGTAGGCTGTCCTGAGTTCCAGGCTTGGTTGAGCCTTGCTGGATAATGATGCAGTGAAAGGACTTTGGGCAATTGCTATATAGTTTTACCTGGAGATCTTTGTTATGTAAAGTATTCTGGCCCAGGCCTTAATAGCCCACCCATTAACAAAGGCGGGGGTGAGTGTCTGCTCTTGAGTTTCAACTCTTTTTTAGGGGAAATATTCTGCCTTTTTAATATTTCCCAGGATATTTCATTTTTCTAGGAGAAGGGTGGTTGCTAACTTCCTACAATGGTTTATTCACGTTCGGACGTAAAACCCGTGGAATTGCCGATGTTCCTTATTTTCTTGGCTTCTCGAGAGGATCCCGGGCTGGGAACAGCCTGCGGTAAATGGGGCCGCCTTTCACAGAACAGCCTGTGATATGTTGACGGGAAAAAAAATATATCAACATGTCTCTTGGGGTAGAAAAACAAATCCCACCGGATCCCTCTAGCCTTTCGTTCTCCAAAGTGACTCTCTGGATTCCCGCCACGGATTTTCATAACTTTGGCACCTGTTCTTTGGGAATCCATGCTGAGAAAGCCTACAGTTACAGATGTGTGTGGGGAGGCGGGGCGGGAATTCACCCATTCCTTTAAAAAAAAAGGGGAAGAATTTGACTTGGGTGGAGTGGAAAAATGGGGTGGGCTTAGAGCGAAACTTTGGACATGGTGCAAAGTTAGTGGTACAATTCTGAAGAAATGGATCAGTGTTTCTCAACCTTGGCCCCTTTAAGAGCGGTGGACTTCAACTCCCAGAATTCCCCAGCCAGCCATGCTGGCTGGGGAATTCTGGGAGTTGAAGTCCACCGCACAGAGGATGCCAAAATCTCACACAGGGGTGCGACATAACTGGCTGTGTATTTGCCATCAAGTCTCTAGATTTGAGAAGCGAAGTCTTCTTTCGCGCTCCGTTCTCACCCCTTTGCACAAGGGTGGAGGGAGGGTCTCCTTCAGGTGCCTGGTGAGAATTGAGGAAGGGATGATAGGTGGTGGTGGGGTTTGTAACTGTCTAGTAAGCTGGCCG